TATATATATATATATATATATATATATATATATATATATACATTTGAATTGTTCTACATTTAAATTAATACAAATAAAATACATTAATATGAATTATTATTTAAAATTAGATAAACAATTAAAATATTTTGTATGAATTAACTTAAATTAAAAATTACAAAAAAAAAAATCATTTTTCTTGCCCCGTCCAGAGTTTGACATTAGCATGTTGTTAAATGAATGGCGTGATACTCTAACAAGTATAAAAATATATAGAACTCGCAAATATTGGGCAAAATAATATATTTTAAGTTTTTATGAACAGTATTTAATGAAATGTAACTTTATAATCAATATTTTTCTTGCCCCGGCCAGGGTTTTACATTAGCATGTTGCTAAGCTAATGGCATAATATTCAAATAAGTATAAAAATACATAAAACTTACAAATGTTGAGTAAAATAATATATTTAACGTTTTTAAGAACTTTATTGAATGAAATAATACGTTATAATTAACATTTTTCTTGCCTTGTCCAAGGTTTGACATTAGCATATTGCTAAGCTAATGGCATGATATTCAAATAAGTATAAAAATACATAAAACTCACAAATGTTGAGTAAAATAATATATTTAAAGTTTTTAAGAACTTTATTGAATGAAATAATACTTTATAATTAACATTTTTCTTGCCCTGTTTTCTTGGTTTGACATTAGCATATTGCTAAGCTAATGACGTAATACTCAAATAAGCATAAAAATACATAGAACTCACAAATGTTGGGTAAAATAATACATTTTAGATAAACAATTAAAATATTTTGTATGAATTAACTTAAATTAAAAATTACAAAAAAAAAAATCATTTTTCTTGCCCCGTCCAGAGTTTGACATTAGCATGTTGTTAAATGAATGGCGTGATACTCTAACAAGTATAAAAATATATAGAACTCGCAAATATTGGGCAAAATAATATATTTTAAGTTTTTATGAACAGTATTTAATGAAATGTAACTTTATAATCAATATTTTTCTTGCCCCGGCCAGGGTTTTACATTAGCATGTTGCTAAGCTAATGGCATAATATTCAAATAAGTATAAAAATACATAAAACTTACAAATGTTGAGTAAAATAATATATTTAACGTTTTTAAGAACTTTATTGAATGAAATAATACGTTATAATTAACATTTTTCTTGCCTTGTCCAAGGTTTGACATTAGCATATTGCTAAGCTAATGGCATGATATTCAAATAAGTATAAAAATACATAAAACTTACAAATGTTGAGTAAAATAATATATTTAACGTTTTTAAGAACTTTATTGAATGAAATAATACGTTATAATTAACATTTTTCTTGCCTTGTCCAAGGTTTGACATTAGCATATTGCTAAGCTAATGACGTAATACTCAAATAAGCATAAAAATACATAGAACTCACAAATGTTGGGTAAAATAATACATTTAAAGTTTTTATGAACGTTACCGAATGAAATATTACTTTATAATTAACATTTTTCTTGCTCTGTTCAGGGTTTGACCTGTTAGCATGTTGCTAAGCTAACAATGTGATACAATAAGTATAAAAATACATAAAGCTCACCAATGTTGGGCAAAATAATACATTTAAAGTTTATATGAATATTACTGAATGAAATATTACTTTATAATCAACATTTTTCTTGCTCTGTTCAGGGTTTGACCTGTTAGCATGTTGCTAAGCTAACAATGTGATACAATAAGTATAAAAATACATAAAGCTCACCAATGTTGGGCAAAATAATACATTTAAAGTTTATATGAATATTACTGAATGAAATATTACTTTATAATCAACATTTTTCTTGCTCTGTTCAGGGTTTGACCTGTTAGCATGTTGCTAAGCTAACAATGTGATACAATAAGTATAAAAATACATAAAGCTCACCAATGTTGGGCAAAATAATATAGAGATAATATATAGTTTTAATGAATGTTATCAAATGAAATATAACTTTTTGGTTAAAACATATTTAAGTATCAATTAAAATATTTTTTATGAATTAACTTAAATGAAAAATTACATAAAATTAAATGATGTAATTGCTATCATTAGTTTGTCCAATCACATTATTGCCGTTATACTTATATGATATATACATATGATATACTTATATGTTATATGATATTTTTTAATACTTTTATTGAATGCAGCTAAACTGCAAAGCTTTGGTAATCCAATAGCACAGTTTTGGGATTTTATAACATCCCATATTTTATGCTATACTCTTATATATACTATTATGAATGTGCATGCTTGATTTACAGCCTCTCGGTTGGATCCTGGTCTGGAAATCTCTTCATCTGAGCGGTAATGGGCCCAGCTTGATCCTGAAGGTCCAGATACACTACGGCCAACTCCAGGATACAGTCCAATCCGACTTGACAAGCCCACTTGTGTCAGCTGATGCAACTGTGCACCTACACACACAACACGTAGCAATTATCATAGCACTGAAACCAAACGTTCAAATACTAATAAGACCGTTACCTGTGCTGCCCCCTACTGGTCGTGGCCGAGAAGACGCTGGCATCTCTTCTCCATACTGCCCCCTGCTGGAGTATCCAGGATCTGACTGCATCTCTGCTGACACCACATATCCAGAGCCCTGCGTCTGCCTGTCAAGTTATACAAACAATCTGCTGAGTAAATATTATATCTGAACCTGATGAATATTTAAGAGTGGACAAATTGGGATAAGGCAGCATATTTGCTTTTCTGTAGTCAAACTTGTTATTTGTTGGCTTAACAGTATCATTGTGCTTCACGTTCATGTTTACATGCATTTTTCAACTTCCTCATGACTTTTCTTACTAGTTTATTCTATAAAACGTCCCAGAATCCACCTCACCTCTGCAGTAAACCTTGAACAGATGTGGGAGACATTCCTAACTCGGCATACCTCTACAAAGCAGAGAGAAAATAAATAAAATTTCACATTACTTGGATTCAAATTCCATCATTCAAATGTCTAGTCACTCACCGCAGAGAAAGGACTGTGTACAGGGGCTGCTGGGTAAGAAGAGGAGGCCCACTGGTGTGAAGGACGTGAGGACGTGCTGGAGGGTTGACCGGGGCTGATTTCGCCGACACCAGTGACCGCCGTAATGCCAGTGAATGTTAGAGGAGCAGGGCTTCCTTGAGAAGAAGGTGAGACCAGAGCAAATGCGTCATCCAATAAGGAGTGCATCCGTTGCCGGGCTTCTTCTATTGTTGGCTGAGGAGGGACGTAGCTGGGCGGGGCAGGGGCAGGGCCAGACGGCGGCGATCCAGTGTCTAAAAACACCTCATCAGTAGGAGAAGGGCTTCCTGCATCTGGGAGCTGATCTGCATCGGACTACAGGAAGAGGAGTGGTGAGTTTGTGTGTCTTAGTTGAGTGAAGGCATGTGCATGTGTGTGTCCTACCACATAGGCCACATTGTTGACCCCGGGGTACTTCCTGTACATGGCATCTCCGTCGGAAATCAGGCGATCTTTGTCTCTCAGACTTCCGCTTCCACTCAAATTCTGTCTTTGTCTGTGTCTGGGAGAGCGTCTTCCTTTGGAACTGCAATTCACAAACAAATTGCATTCACTTTCCCGGATAGCAAACTCTAGTTCTGTCATGACAATTCTCGGAGGGATTGGCATGGTAATGTACATGACAATGTTAATGTATTTGTCTTGGCGGAATAGATCTGCTACGCTGCTGCTGCTGCGGCAGAGCAAGTACAGAGACTTGCTACTGCCAATACATCCACAACATGCTGCTGTGAGCATGTAAGAAATACTGCTGCTGCAAATATAACGTACATGAAATAACCCCCATATAGCATACATGAATCACCTCGTAGCAGATCTATACAGGTGGAGCTGGGGAAGGTGAAGGGTTTCTGAAGCACGCTGCAAACTGCTACAGCAAGCACTAGTCATATTTGAATGTTGAGCAGCGAGGTCATTGGCTGCCGATACAGAAGAGAACCAATCAGCTGTGCCATGTGATAATGATGTCATTAGGTCAGATTAAGTTAGTCCTATCGGACTGCGCCATCTACAGTTTCATGCCAGAACTCTGTATATGTGTTGCAGATGGTACAAGTGAGATTTATTATCCTGACCTTTTGCGTGGCTCTCCGCACGATGAAGGTGTGTGTTCTTCAAGATGTAGGATCTTGTGTATCTGTTCCTGAGCTTGTTGATACACTCGCTGCTGTTCGGAGCTGTCACCGAACACTGCCATGATGTCCTCCATGGAGGGGAACTCGTAGTGGCCCTTTCTCTTGGCACGCAGGCGGATCTTATTGCGATGGTGTTCGATCTCAGATTTATGCCTCAAGGCCACTTGGATCTGCATCAGAATGGGTTACGAATGTTTTCTTATAGATGACATATTTGCTGAATATTCTGTTTCTGATACATGAATTATTAAATCAGGAAGTACAAGGAAAAGGAAAGGAAATATGTGCTTAATGTTTCAAATAAATACAAGTGTAAACAGGATAGACATTTATTTAGATTGTACACATTTTAATAAATAAATAAACATACAAATAAGTAAAAACAATATTATTTTATAAAATAATATAATTTCATTAATTAATAAATATAAACATTAAAATTTTCTCTCTCAAAAAAGAATTAATAATTAATAAAATACCAACAATTCTGAAAAAAAAATAAAATAAACCAACTTATAATTAAATTAAATATATATATATTATTAAAAATAGTCAATTAATTAAAAAAGTGTAAGTAAATTACATTTATATAAATTATTATAATTAAAAAAATTACAATTGTATGCCAGTAAACCGCAATGCTTTGGCAATTCAAAATAGTATATTTTAATTAGTGCTGGGCGGTATGACCAAAAATTTATATCACGGTATTTTTCAAAATTATACCGTTTTCACGCTAC